TCAAGATGGTACCATACCATCCTGTATATCTTCAAGATGGTACCATATCACCCTGCCATATCCTTCTGCGCTTCCGGTGGTCTCCACACTTCTATGGTCCACAATCTATTTGCTATGAACCCCACACCATTGTGTTATTTTTAAGTAGAGTTTTCTTTTGTAGAAATAAATAAAAATGTTGCATGTCTTACTCGTGACATTTCCATTTACAGTGCATCTTATTCCTCAGTGTCTCCTGCACGCTGTCATCTTCCTTCTGCCAGAGGGGCCCCCTTAGCATCTTCAGTACTGTCTGTGTACCAGAGGTAATTTCAGGCTTGTACATCTGACAGAGTTTTGATTTTTGCCTTTGCTTTTGAAATGTTTGTCTGGGTGTAGCATTCTAGGTCGGGCTTCCTCTGAGTGTCTGGGGATAGGGCTCTGCCATTTTCCGACGCTGAGAACCGTGTCCTTGTTCATTTCTTTGTCCCGTGGTCTGTGACGTCTTTCCTCCTCTGGCAGTTTTTCTCCTGGTGGGAGTGTCTGAGCAGTTCATCTGCAGAATCCACTGCAGTCCCTTCAGTTGTTTGGCCTTTGGGTCAACAGGTTCACAGTCGAGTTTGAGGAATTTTCCAGCTGCTAGAGAATCTACTAACCCATCTGAGAGTCTGTCCTGGGAATCTTATTTTCTTGGTAGCCATAACTCTTAGTGGCCATTAAGGCGCCAGCCCTGGAAACCACAGAGTCGGCTTTATTTCCTATCTCACGGTATCGCCGTCCTCTGCTCGCTGTCCAGAGTCCTGTGTCATGTGCATTCTTGTATCTTAAAGGATTTGTTTTTTATATTTATTTGTTTTGATGTTATATGCATGAATGTTTTACCTCTATGCACGTATGGTGTCCACGTGAGTGTTTGTTGGGTCCCCTGTAACTGGGGCTGTGGATAGTTGTGAGCTACTATGTGGGTGCTGGGACTCGAACCCAGGTCCTCTATAAGAACATGAGTGCTCGTAACTACTCAGTCATCTTCCCAGCCCCATTTTCTAATATTTAGTGGTTGCAGCAGTAAGGCAGTCCTGATATGAAGCTGTTTTCCCACCATTGCCAGAAATGTCACTCTTGCTTGTATTTTAAAGCAGTTTGGGTGCCAGAGGGATGGCTTAGTGGTTAGTAGCATGTAGTGCTCTTCCAGAGGACTCAGGTTCAGGTCTCAGCACCCACGTCAGGTGACTCACAAACATCTGTAACTCCAGATGGAGGGCACCTGATGTCTTCCTTGAGCCTCTATAGGCATCCATACATACATGGCTCACACGTCAATAAAATAAAAATAAATAGCTTGGGATGGCTGGACGTGACCTTTAATCCCAGACAGATCTGGGGCAGAGGCAGACAGACTTCTGTGAATTCAAGTCTAGCCTGGTGTGTATACATAGCATGCACTCACATACACACACAGAGACACACACAGAGCACAGAACAAAAGTCTAGTCTGAGGTACACAGAATATTCTAGACAGCCAGGGATACATAATAAGACCCTGTCTCACAAATAAATAAATAAATATATATATATATGCTTGTGTATGTATACACATATATACACATATATACATATATGATTGTGTATACATACACACACACACATATATATATTACAGAGTAAGAGTGTGAGGTTAGGAAGATTGCCAGTGATTAAAGTCTTTATTACTTGAGTGTGAGGACCAGAACTGGGGTCCACAGAACCCACATAAACACCGTATCAGTGTGGCGGCCCACCTGTCATTGTAAAGCTTGTGGAGTGGAGATGGGGCCTCAGAGTGAGCTGGTTAGCCAAACTAGCTGTGTCTGAGAACTCTGGGTTCAGTTGCAAACTCTGCTTCAGTGATTGAGCTGGAATGCAATCAAGGGAGACGCCCTATGTCAACATTGTGCTTCCACACCCACACAAATGCAAGTGCAAGTGCACACACATGTGCACAGACACACATATGAACAGCTATGCACATACCTCATACACACACACAGGGAAAAAAACATCGTGATCAACCTGGCTGGGGTTCTTGAGGAAAATGACTCGTCTTGAGCAAGCACTGAATAGTGACGTGAAACAGGGTTACCTGGAGTCGGTTTGATTGACTGTAGGCCACTGTGGACAGTTGAGAACCGGGAGATGATAGAGGGGCTGATTGTCGTTGATTATCGTCTGTGTAGAATGGTAGTTCTCAACCTCAGCTACAGGTTGAATCACCTGGGAGATCTGGAGAAAAAAAAAAAAAAAACTTGATTCGGCTCCACCCAAGAAATTATGATTTAATTTGCCTGGCATCAGGCCTAGATATCAGGACTTTCGGAAGCTCAAGTGATTTTGATGAACAGCCAAGGTAAAGAGCCACTGATGGCTCAAGTGTCCACAGCCATCTTTACTCTCCTTCCTGTCTTTCTCCTTTCTTCACGGCCTCCCTCCTGCAGCAAAGTCCAGGTCCTCTATGGGGGGACAGACCTCTTCGACTACGAGGTACGCCGGACCTTCAATAACGACATGCTTCTCGCCTTCATTAGCAGCAGCTGCATCGCTGCCCTTGTCTACATCCTAACCTCCTGCTCAGGTACGGCATCTCCGAAGGCTCGCATGAGCCGGTGCCTTCCCTCCCTGCGGCGCACACCGGCCTGTTCAAGGATGCCTGGATAGCCTGAAATCCAGCTCCTTAGAGCTGGGCCAAATGGTGCTCAGACACCGTGGTAACTTTGTGTCCGGTCGTCTGGGATATTTTTAGACTGTTGTGGATCGTTCAAGAGCCTACTTTGTAACCATAACAGCCGCCCTTTTGCCCGTAGCTCACCTCCCAGTCACCTCCTCACCTTGCACTAGCTTCTTCTGATTGCTGCTTTTATGCAGGCGGCACGTGCTCTTGCCCAAGTGAACAGAGATAGAAAACTGCGCAAGACATGCAATCGTCCATGCAGCAAATGTTAATCGAGTGCTAAATAAATGCTCGATGTTCTGACTCACCAGAATCCGGTAGGGAACCAGTCATAGGTCCCGCACCACGAGACCTCTGGTCCCCTCAGGCGACACACAGTATAAAACACTCACGATTCTCTCCCTGTATGCGAGGTTAGTGGGACTTGGAAGAACTTCCATAGGCATCCTGACCTCAAATGATTTCGTCTGCCACACAGGCCTCCTTTCCAGCCCCTTCTCTGGGAACGAAAGGCTTCAAATTCTGCATTGTTTCTACGCATGCCCAGGAGCAGACAGGGTGGTGCAGGGAGCTCAAGATGAGGGGCTGAGGCCAGGGTCACTGTAGAGGGTATGCTCTGTGTTCTGCGAGCACCCTCCCCATGGTCCCTTGTGCTCCTTGCCCTGCCCAGTGTTCCTGTCCTTCTTTGGGATTGCGAGCATCGGTCTCAGCTGCCTGGTGGCGCTCTTTCTCTACCATGTGGTCTTTGGCATCCAGTACTTGGGCATCCTCAATGGAGTGGCCGCCTTTGTGATTGTGGGCATCGGTGAGTTGTCTCCCAGCCACGGCAGGGGATTCCCACTTGAGAACTCTGTCCCTTCCCCCCAACAAGGCATTCTGGGTGATGACGAAGAAAAGTAAGTTTTGCAAGAGGGGTGGGTGGGGCCAGGAAGCTTGATGGATGGGGCTTGAACTCAGCGTGGTCACGGAGGCTGGTAGGTGGGACTTGAGATTTTGTGAGTGGGTCTTGGAGACAGTAAGTGGAGCCAAGGTGCATGCTGGGTGATGTTTGGCCACAGTGGGTGAGGCTTGGAGAGACTGGGTGAGGCCACGATGTTTGGTGGGTGGGGCTTGGAGATGCTGGGTGTAAACCAAGAGTCTGGTGAGTGGGGCTTGACCTCAGGATAGAGCCAGTCAGATGGCCTCATTAAGCCAGCGATGAGCCACCCGGCACCTGACCTCAGGGTCACAGAAGTGGGACCTGAGCTGAACTGGCCCCTGGCCTGTCCTTCCTCCAGGCGTGGACGATGTCTTTGTATTCATCAACACATACCGCCAGGCCACCCACCTGGAGGACCCCCAACTGCGGATGATCCACACCATCCAGACGGCAGGCAAGGCCACCTTCTTCACCTCGCTGACCACTGCCGCCGCCTACGCCGCCAATGTCTTCTCCCAGGTGCGAAGCCCGCCCGAGGTCCTTGTCTCGGCTTCCCATCCGCCCACGCGTGGTTGGCCCCTGATCCCAGCATCTTCATCTTAAGGTCCTTGCTGTGACTCTGCAGTGCGTTTGTGACTAACCACATGTGGGGGGGTTACAGCAGTCCAGTTAGTGAACGTGCGCTCTGACTGCCCTGGGGCACCACCATTTCCGAACCTCTTTACCGTCCGATCTGAACAGCCCAAGATAAAAGTGTCACCATCTCTGTCTTCCTAGCACAGAAACTGGGGCCCGGAAAGGTAAAGGGACTCTATCATGATCACACAGCTGGTAAACGGTGAGCCCAGCAGCCTCCTCACTCCAGGCCTGAGCTTCTTCACACCTCTTCATGCCCTGTTTTAACCTCTTGTACAGTCCATCTGTCTGTCTTCCTCTCTCCCTCCTTCTGCCTCTCTTACCTCTCTCTCCACCCCTCCCCTTCTCTCCCACTCCCACTTCTGTATTCCTGAGTGGGGCTCTGTGTGCCTAGGACCACATCTTAGAGAGATTTTGTAACCTGGCCACATAACTCATACAGACCTTTCTGGGCCTCAGTTTCCTCAAGGGATTATTCTGGGTCTGAGATGAGCAGATAGTGAAGTGATTTCACAAACTTCAGGTCTGCCTGCTGGTTGGGGAGGGTTTTCTCCAAATGCCACAGCCCTGGGCAGGTCTCTGTGAGATTTCTGGGTCTCCCTACTTCCCCCTCTTGGGTACCGTTCTTTCCTTCCTCTGGTTTTGTGTGATGTGTCTTCGATAATGGCCACTACCAGCTGCTTACTCTGGCCATTCCCAGATGACTGGAGATAGACCAGAGCCTCTGCCCTCAGGTGGAGCAAGCGCTTCCTCAGCTGCTGTGTCCAGCACAGCTTCTGGGATCCCTTAGGTCCAGTGCTGTTGTCCTGTAAACTGTTCCTACTTCAGTCCGGAGAGAGCCAGCTGTCTGGTTTGTCTCTGGACACAGAGACACCCAAGGCTCACTGTGCCCTGTCCTCACTGTCTCTTGGCTACAGATCCCGGCTGTGCACGACTTTGGCTTGTTTATGTCTCTCATTGTGACCTGCTGCTGGCTGGCTGTACTGTTCACCATGCCCGCCGCCCTGGGCCTCTGGAGCCTCTACATGGCACCTCTGGAGAGCTCCTGCCAGAGCAGGTGGGCGGCCTTCACCCTTCACTTCCTGAGTAGCCACAACACCCAGCCCTCTCTCTCTCTAAGCCCTCTAGGGTTCTCGTGTGCCTGGTTCTAGGCTAGGCGGGGAACAGGGAAGCCCTTGTCCAGCAGCAGTGTGTAGTCGCATGTGAACAGGAGGTGGGCTTACTTATACACAGCGTTAAAACCACCATTGTCTTACTGTGCATTTTATGCAGGACCCTAACCTAGGGCATCCTAGGGCAGCCATCTCACCTCCTGTGACCCCTTGTGTCCCCAGAGAAGGAGTTGCAGCTGAGGGTAGATGACTCCAGAAGAAACTCAGCCTTGGCTCTCGTAGTCAGTGGTGCCTCTCCTGCGAGTCAGGAGCAGCCGCCGTCTGGGCTCGTACCGTTTCCTTGTCCCCCTCCTCTCCGGGTGCTCTGACTCCTAGCCTCATGCCTGTCCACTGCCCTCCGTAGCTGCCACCAGAAGTGCGGACGCAAGAGCTCCTTGCATTTTCCTGGGGACCTGTTCACGGCTCCCGAACGAGCTGGGGGTGTCCCTGCTCAGGGCCCCCTCCCCTACCTGGATGATGACATCCCCTTGCTGAGTGTCGAGGATGAGCCAGGTGAGAGCTGGCTGGCCTGGGTGGGGTTGGCCTCCAGAGGGAGGTCCAAAGAAAGGCTGGCCCCACAGGACCCAGGCACCAAGGTGGGGACCCTCGCCTAGCACGTGGGCTTTGCCTGTGCAGGTATGGGCGGGGCAGGCTGTGGCTCAGACTTTGACTGGCTGCCATTTTGCCTGGCAGTGTCTCTAGAGCTGGGAGATGTATCACTGGTCTCTGTGCACTGTGAGGGTCTGCAGCCCACCCCTGACAGGAGCAGCAGGGGCCAGCTCCTCGCCCAGCTGCAGGACCTGCTGCACCGCTGGGTCTTATGGGCAGCTGTCAAGAGCCGCTGGGTGATCGTAGGTGAGTGTGCCCCAATCCCTTCCTGAAGGCAGACATACCCACATACTCCATACCCGACAAGCAACAAGCACGGGAGTGGAGTAGCTCTCAGAAGTCTGAGCACAGCCTCTTCTCTGCCTCTTCCTTTTCATGGGTAGGCTGCTCCTGAGCCTCCTCAGCCTCTGCCTGCAAGCGGCCGTGTGCCAGTCGAGAGAGTAGAGATTTCATGCTTGGATCTGGACTAGACTGGCAGGCTGAGTTTGAACCCTAGTTCTACCCTCTGCCCTTGGCTGTGCTAGCCAGTCCAACACTTGAGTTCTTGTTCTATAAATGAGGGTGGTACCACTGCCTGGGGCCAGGGCATAGCTCAGCACATACCAGGCCTGGGTCTGTCTCCCTAGCACCAAAAACAAATAAGGGTCTAGGAAGACAGCTGTAAGGAGTTTGGTCTGGTGTGGGGCCTGCCAAGGGCTCGTCATAATCAGAACTACTGCAGTCAAACAGAAGTGCCTGCTCTTCAGGGACGGCCAGATACTCTGAGACACTAGCTAGCCCGTGTGGAGGAGCATCAGCTTGTAGCTTACAACCAGGCGCCAGCAACTCCACAAACACAGTCGCCATCCCTGCCTCTGGTGGGGCTATCTCCCTCCTCTCCCCCTCCTTCTTACCCTGCTCTCCTCCTCTCCCCCCTCCTCCAGCTCCTCCCTCTCTTCCTCCAGCTCCTCCCCTGCTCTCCTCCTCTTCCTCCTCCTCCTGCTCCTCCCCTTCCTCCTCTCCCTGCTCTCCTCTTCTCCCTCCTCTCCCTCCTCCTCCTGCTCCTCCCGCTCCTCCCCCCCCCCCGCCCCTCTTCACACTGACGATTCTGCCAGGGTGGGGTGCCAGCCTCGGATCCCTCACAGGGCCTCCTCTCACACAGCACTTCCCCACAGGGCTTTTTGCCTCCATCCTTATCCTGTCCCTGGTGTTCGCCAGCCGGCTCCGCCCCGCCAGCCGGGCCCCGCTGCTCTTCCGGCCGGACACCAACATTCAGGTGCTGCTGGACCTCAAGTACAACCTGAGCGCCGAGGGGATATCCTGCATCACCTGCTCAGGTGAGGATCCCCGCCGGCTGAGCCCTCCCCCTGTGGCGGCTGAGCCCACTGTTGGCCTGAGAGATTGCAGAGGTGCATTGAGCGGAGGATGGGACATCCTGGGCTCAGGGGCTCCAGGCTACAGAGTCAGGGACTCACTGTTAAAGTAGCAGATGGGAACCTTTGTGGAGGAAGGATTCGGTGCTCTGTGGGCATGTATACCCTGGAAGGCTGCCCATAGGAGGTGTCTAAGCAGATACTTTTAAAAAATGAGAGTCATCAAACGAATAGAGCTTGGAAGGGAAAGAGTTGGTTAGACCCAAAGGAAAGGGAGAAGGTCAGTCAGACCAGGCTACAAGGAAGGAGGGTTCTAGGCTAACGGCTGTGGCAGTGATGGGGAAGGGGAGAGCCAAGGCTGAGGGGAGGGTTGCAGAGACTACTCTGTTGACGGAAGGATTTGGGGTTGGTGGACCAGATGGGGATGGGCAGGAGGCTGGCGCCATCTCTACAAGAGTCATGGAGGAGCTATGGAACCACAGTGTTGAGAGTGATTTAATACCTGAAGGATGCTGACAGGGCCGGTGTCGAGAGGAGCAAAAGGGGAGGGGGAGTGGCTTTCAAGGTGTCAGATCTAAGCCCTCAGCGCAGGGAGAGTGGGGGCGGAGCCAGGGGCAGGGAGAGTGGGGGCAGAGCGAGGGGCAGGGAGAGTGGGGTCAGAGCGAGGGTGGACAAGGGTCAAAGCACTCTGCTCCGGTGGGTAGAAGGGAAAAGAGACAAGGCTTAACTGAACTGAACGCCTGCAGCCCGGGAGAGGAGCTCCGCCGCCGCCACTGCCCGTAATTACCTTCGCTTAATCAGGGCCTTGTTCCCATTAACCCAGCCTTCCCTGGGTCAGGGCAGGAGCTGACTGCACGATAAAGGACTGGAGCTCTGACGGCTACCCAGAGCCTTGCGTCTCATAGACAGCCCAGCTCAGCCTGCAGGTCTCCACTGGGGCTCTCCCAGTTCACAACACGTACTCCCGGGGACTCCCTGCCTGTCCCCTGCCACCTCCGCTTCCCAGCAGGACAGACACCAGAGTAGCCACCTGTAGGAGAGCCACCTCACCCCTGTACCTGTAATGCACTCTGAACCCCCATTTCAGGGAGACCTTTGGTGTGGCAGCAAAGAGGGCGGCCTCTCCTGGACGCCCCTCACTTCCTGGTCCCTGAAGTCCCTGGTTCTCAAAACCACAGGTTTGTCCTCTGCCGATAACCAGGTCTGTCCTCTGTTGATAACCTCTCGGGATAGCTATGAGGACTGCTGTTTTAAAGATGTTTCTCTCAGTTAGACAAACACTTCACCTGTAGCCGCTACAAGGCAGCCATTGTCCAACCTTACCCTCACCCGATAGAACTGGGAAAGCCAGACACAGAGGGCACATGGGGACCTATGTCCCCCTCCAGATGGAGACATAAACATTCGGTGTGTTCCTTGGTTTTGCTGAGCCTCCTTCAAACCACTGATGTCCACTCCCTCCAGCCTCTGGTCCTGCATAGATTCTGGCCAATCCTCCTAGCTTACCAGGCGTGGCCAGAAACCTACCAATGTCCCTGACTCAGTGGGGCGCTGGGGGGCAGGTCTGTTCCAGGAGAAGCCCCACAGCCTGCAGAACAATGTCAGGACATCCCTGGAGAAGAAGAAGCGGGGTTCCGGGGTTTCCTGGGCCAGCCGGCCTGAGACCACTGCACAGGGTGAGTGGGGCAGGGTCCGCTAATGCACCCAGGTGCTCTCGTGTCTGACTCTACATGGAGAGCCTGTACTCCCATGGGAACAAGAATCTGTGCCCTTGGGTCAGCTAAGGGGTAGCATGTGTATACTTCAGAACCCTCGTATCACCTCAGCCACCCACCCTGACTAGAACTCCAGGCTTCTACCTACCACAGCCTCCATGACCCTGGTCACCATCCTGAGAGTCAGTATGGGGGTGCCCTGAGCCTTGGCTCTCCTCTCCTGGGGTCTCCGTTAGAAAGGGAGGTAACCCCAGTGGACATTTACATTTGTCCCTGTCACCCCACGGTATCGTCACCATGTCATTAACAGACCAAGCCCCACCTTTCATGCTATCCCATTGATGGCAACACTACCCTACCCCATTCCTGGTCTCTTCACCATCATGGGTGTGACTCCATCTGTGACTGCTACCACCTCCCACCGTCTGACACTAACTACCCCACCCTGTCATTGTCACCTGCCACCATCACTGCCACCGTCCCACCCATGACCGGTCACCTCCCACCATCCTATCCTTTCTAGTACAGTGGGACAGCATCAACACCTGAGGGTGAGCCTAAGACCAGTGCTCAGCTCCTCAGCCGACAGCGCTAAGGTGGGCTCCTGTCGCATCCTGAGGCTGTTACGGTCACTATCCTCTCCTCTTCCGTCCCTTGCTTATCCTCAGAGTCCATGAGCACCGTATACATCTCCAAAGTGAAGAGCAAAGGCCACCCAGCTGTCTACAGGCTATCCCTCAATGCCAGCCTACCAGCGCCCTGGCAAGCTGTGTCCCCTGGAGATGGAGAGGTGCCATCCTTCCAGGTGAGCCCAGGCTGTCATGAAGTTATGTACTGAGGAGGGGCCGTTGGTACCATACTGGTGAATATTGGTCATGTAGGCAGGGAGCAGGGCCCTTAAGGGTGAAGCTGTTCTGGGCACATGAGGGCCTGCTGTAGCCGTCAGCTGTGCAGCAGGGTCTGCAGACAGAGCTGGGTTTGAATCCCAGCTCTGCCTGTGTAACCTGGATGTTGTTGGGCAGGTGATTCAGTCTCTCTGAGCCTCGGTTTCCTGATCTTTGCAATGGGAATATAAGACATTGTTGGTTGTTCAGGGAACAAGAGCTCTGTACCACCTGACAGTGGAAGGCAGTAATGGTCCACCATGACAGTCCACAGTTCATCCTATAACAAAGAGATTACCCAGAAGATAGCCTCCCATGGACACACCCAGATTCAGTGTCCCCTCAACAGGATCATTCCTGTTCTTTTAACCCTTCCCACCATCTAGATGACTGCACAGAGGAACCTACTTGGTCAGATTTGTCCTCCCCACCACAAATGCCACCCCTCCCTCCACAGCCCTACCTGGCGTCTCCTCTCGGGATGCCCTTCTCCCTGCCACGTCTCTCACCTGAAGGTCCTGTCTGACTGAATCTGGCCCAGCCAGAATCTGACACCATCCCCACTGCGAACTCCACAAGGGCAAGGCCTTGCCCATCCTGCCTAATCTAAGGCTGATCTAAGGCTCAGTCCTTAGATCCAGGCACAGAGCCTGTCCCAAGAAGACACGTAGTATCCTAGTTTTTCCTCTTGCTATGATAAAAATAAAAATACCCCTGATGAAAAGCAACTTAGGGGAGAAAGATATTTACTTCAGCTTATAATTAATTCTAGGTCACAGTTCATCATTGTGGGGAAACCAAGGCAGGAACTTCAGACAGCTAGTCCTATCACACCCACAGGAAAGAACAGGGAGAGATAAATGCATCTGTGCTCGCTTGCTTGTGTTTAGCTCTATTTCTCCATTGTTAGTTCAGGACCCTCTGAATAGGGAATGGTACCGCCCACCGTGGGCTGGGTCTTCCCACATCAGTTAACTTGAGACATCTTCCAAAGGCATGCCCACAGGCCAACCCAATGTAGACAGTCCTTCATTTAAAGTCTCAGATGACTTTTGGTTGTGTCAAGTTAACAGTGAAGGCTAGCCCATTAGAAAAGAAATGAGGTTCAGAGAGAAAGGGGGTGAAGGGAGAGAGGAAAAGTTGCCCACTTTCAAGTTCAAATGTAAGCCTCTGAGCTCTGGGGACCAGGACAGGGTGGGACATAGGTCAGGGAGGGAGGGGACAGACCTTGAGGCTGGGCAGGCCGAGGCAGCCTCCCCGAGTCACGTGTCTTGTCTCTGTCAACCCACTGCTTAGGTGTATAGAGCGCCTTTTGGTGACTTCACCAAGAAGCTGACCGCTTGTATGTCTACAGTAGGGCTGCTCCAGGCGGCGAGCCCCTCCCGCAAGTGGATGGTGACGGCCTTGGCCTGCGATGCCAGGAGGGGCTGGAAGTTTGACTTCAGCTTTTACGTGGCCACCAAGGAGCAACAGCACACTCGGTAAGAGCCGTGCAGACGTGACTCCCAGACCACCATGACTTCGCTTCACCTCTCTCTGTCTTGGAGTGGGGACACCGGCAAAGATGACTGGCCCACAACCCCCACTGTAGTTTGCCACTTTTCCTGTCAGCTCTGCAGGGTCGCTATGGCCATCTGGATCTACCTCATGGCCTTGGCAGCCATCCTCTGTACCCAGAACGTTCTCCTCATGTCCTGGAGCCTTATGCCTCTGGGTTCAAGTTTCTAGCCTAATGCTACCTCCCACGGGAGGCTGTCCCCATACAAAGTCCATGACCCATCCTGTATCACCCCGTTCAGACTCTCCATGCAGCACCTGTTGCTGTTTCTGCTCCCGGTTGCCACTGCAGTCATGTGGGTCTGACATGTGACCACTCCAGCCTCAGTGCTGTGTCCCTCAGAGCACACTGAGGGATCATTCAGGCTGTACTTCAGGTGGTGTTTGTCATGTGACAGGCTCTCAGTAGGTCTCTGCTGGCTGGTTGATTGTGTGCCCCTTTTCTACATCGTTGGGGGGTGGCATAGGTTATATCTATTATAGTTTCTACTTTATTCTCAGGCTCTACCTACCCCCTGGCATGCAGGAAGTGACTCGTTCTTGCTGAATGAAAGTTCCATTCTCCACCTCTCGGGGTCCCAAGTCCCCAGGGCAGTCTTGTTCCAGGCTTTACAGCCTCATGTTATGAACATAGCCTTATTTATCAGGAAGGCTGCCTTGGCCCAAGTATCCAGCCATTCGTTTTACAAATGTGACCCAATGTGACTATGTGTCAGCATGCTAGGGTCGGGATGGGGTAACGAGCACCTCCCCGGGAGACAGGCAGCTACCAGGTGGCAGCATCTTCCTGGCAGACCAGGAGTCACACTCAGGACAGGAACAGCTCAGCTCCCACTTCAGGAGAGCATCTCAATGCCAGGTCTGTACTGCGTGTGCTACCTGGAGACCATGGTCTGACAAGGAACTGATTTCCGGGAATTCAGCTCCCTGACCCCAACCGGTTGATTCCACTTGGAGTAGAGGGGTGAAGAGAGAAGGAGCAGGCAGTGAGGTGGCTCTAGCTGGGTCCTTTCCACCTAAGCACCTCTATCTCAGGGTAGACTGTCTGCTCTGGAGCCCAGGGCCAGGCTTTGTTGGATATGTACAGCATGGCCTGGGGCCTGGCAATTTCCTGGATGAACAGTCTAGAAGAACTAGAAGCCAGAAGCAAATTCAAGGCACCTTGAGTTCAGTGGGTCAATGGGTCAATAGGTCAATAGGTCAATAGACTGGATGGGAGACACTAAGGCTTGCCTTAAGTTCTTCGGAGCTCTGGGGAACAGTTTTAAAAGTGGACACTTGTGTTTCCCCTCCCCCCTTATGTCAGGGTGAGAGACTGAGAGCCAGAGGGAAGAGCCTTGATCAGGGTCAGGTTGGTGTTGGCAGAGGCAGAACTAAAACAAGCCCCCAGACCCCAGCCCTCAGCACCCTCTGCCCTTATGCTGGGAGAGAGCTCACCCTCCCTGCCTCCACAGGAAGCTGTACTTCGCACAGTCTCACAAGCCCCCGTTCCACGGGCGCCTGTGTGTGACGCCGCCTGGGTGCTTGCTCAGCTCCAGCCCTGATGGGCCCACCAAAGGCTTCTTCTATGTGCCTAGTGACAAAGGTACTTAGGGGGCATCCCTGGGGAGGGCTCGAGGGGAGCCTCCGAAGCCTGGGCCCACCCTCAGTGTTGGTTCTGACCCCCTCCTGCAGTGCCCAAGGCCCACATCTCTGCCACCTTTGGCTTCAACCCTTGTGTGAACACGGGCTGTGGGAAGCCTGCCGTGCGGCCGCTGGTGGATACGGGAGCCATGGTCTTCGTGGTGTTTGGCATCATCGGTATCAACCGCACCCAGCAGATGGACAACCACGTTATCGGGGACCCGGTACGGCCACTCTGGGCAGATGTGGAAGGTGACAGCTATAGCAGAAACTTGAGGCCAGGCCTGGCAGTCCGGTCCCTCACATACACTCTTGACTCCTACACAGCTCCTCCAGCCCTCACAGGAACTGCACTCTGAGGGAGCATTGCCCTCCTGGAGGAGGCAGACTGACTGAGGAATATGAGTACATTTAGGGACCCACACTAGCTGCCTCATCTTCATTGGAGGCTAGAACAGATGAGAGGAATCCTGTCCTCCTCTGGGGTGAGGCCTGTCCTCCTATGGGGTGGGCTCTGTATGTTGACATCACTGACCGTGTGTGACTGAGAAGCCTGACAGGTGTACTTACAGGGTCACTAGAGGTCGTACTTGGGTTGGGCACAGGCATGGCAGGTACCGCCTGTCAAGGAACAAAAGAAGATGAAGCTTGTCTTTCCAGTCAGAGGGATACTGTTCACATTCAGAGCAGAGGTGGGAGCCCGCGGAGGAGACAGGCAGGCATGCAAGATAGAGCTGGCCGGAAGCAAGGGAGAAAAGCATTAAGTCCAGCTGAGAGGAAGAAAAGAGGTGGGGGCAGGGGGTGAGCTATTACTGGAGCAGAGGTGCCAAAGGCGCTGAGCAAAGGGAGTCACGGGTATCCACATGAGGGTGTGGCGTGGTGGTAACACAGGACAAGGGAGCTGCTGCAGGGTCTGTCGCCCACCGTGGGGGAAGGGGAGCCTGGGACTGAGTCCACAACTCACTGAGCGCCCGGGCCGGTGTGTCTCCTTGGGAAAGGGCAGCGTCATCTACGACAGCAGCTTTGACCTCTTCAAAGAGATCGGGCACCTGTGTCGCCTCTGCAAGGCCATCGCGGGCAACTCAGAGCTGGTGAAGCCGGGTGGGGCCCAGTGCTTGCCGTCAGGTATGTGCGGTCGTGGACGCGGACCATGTGAGGTCACGGCCCACTTGATAGCGCTAGGTAATATGTGCCTTGTGTTTGGGTGTCTGTACTGGAGTGTGCCCGTGTGGCACTCACGGCCCTGTGCAAACATTTGCCGAATGTGCACCGGCTTGCAAGAGAATGCTGAGGGGTTGGGGTGGAGTGGAGGGTGTATGCTAGTAAAATGTATAGGTATGCCTCTGGGGGGCGCTCTTCCAGACTGGAGGGCAAGTGGCTGGTCCAAAGGCTACTTGACTGCAGTGATCCAAAACGTCACTTGCCACCTCAGTGGCAGGTTGACACCTGCCGGGCATTTGCAAACACGTTAGAATCGTGAGAGGCAGGTGACGGTGTACACCCAGGCGTCATGTACGGGATTGACCGCTTTTCCTGCCGCAACCTCCTCCTGCTTCTCCCTACAGGGTACAGCATCTCTTCCTTCCTTCAGATGTTGCACCCCGAGTGCAAGGAGCTGCCCGAGCCCAACCTGCTGCCAGGGCAGCTATCCCATGGGGCAGTGGGTGTCAAAGAGGGTCGTGTGCAGTGGATCTCCATGGCCTTTGAGTCGGTGAGCCTAGGGGCCCTGTGTAGGGTGCTTATCTTGAAGACGTGTCCCCGTCCATTCCTGTCCCTCAGCCCAGACCAGAGAGAGATACCCAGGCTTTGGCCTAGGTCATAGCTAGCAGTCGACAGTGTCAGGCACCAGCCCACCCGACTGCATATCTTCATCTTTCCTAACACCTGTAGGGATAAAGGAGGGGCAGGAGACTCTCCACTGTCACCTTCATGTTCCTGTCTCTGCCATGGGAGATACGGAAATGTGTACACAAGCATACACACACTTATACACGCACTTATATCCCCTGACCTGGCCTCTCTGAGATCTGGCACTTTAGGCTCTCAGACATAATAAGATGTTCTGTTGCCTCCATGTGGAAACCAGGGGTCCAGCCTTTACCTGATCTTGATGTGATTTACTGATGTCGTGGATCAGATCCCCAGTTCCCTCTGACCTCTACAAAGCAGGATTTAAAAGCCTTTCCCTAGCTGGGTAGTGGTGGTGCACACCTTTCATCCCAGCACTCAGGAGGTAGAGGCAGGAAGATCTCCGGGTTCAAGGCCAACCTGGACTACAGAGGGAGTTCCAGTACAGTCAGGGCTACACAGAAAAACCCTATCTTAAAACAACAAAACAAGCAAACAAAACTGCTGGAGAGATGGCTCAGCAATGAAGAGCACTAGCTGGTCTTTCAGAGGTCCTGAGTTCAATTCCCAGCACCCACAATCATCTATAACCATAGTCTCATGGGATCAGATGACCTCTTCTGCTGTACAGATAGACGATATACCTGTAGATAAGGCATCCGTGTACATAAAATAAATAAATCTCTTTAAAAGTGTTTTTTTTTAAAGCCTTCTCCTGCCCAATCTGTTTGTTATAGAGACACATGGAAATAACACACTTTGCTGGAAGTGGCAGAAATAGACACCAGGTGACAAGTTTAGGGGAGTGCCTGTTCTCAGGACCCCGATACAGTCTCCCATGGTCTGTGTTTCTTGTAGTACGTACCAAGAAGCCTCTGAGCCAGGTCAGGTGGACTAGAGACCCCTAACCCAGTGAAGACAATCCCAGTTCTGCTGAGTCAAAGTTGCCTTTTTTATTTTTGATAAAACAGTCTATAAAACGTTGTAGTATCTATATCAGTTGGCTTTTCGTTGCTGATACAAAAAAAAAGGAAGGAAAGAAAGAAGGAAGAAAAGATTTATTGCAGCTCACAGTTTCAAAGGGTTCAGTCCATCGTGGAGAGGAGAATGTAACAGAGAGTGGAGACCATGTCTCCATGGCTGGGAGACAATGTGAAGTCTTTCTCCCTCACTCAATACTTTCTAGAAACCTACAAGTTTTCCTTGCTCTCTCCTGGGTGTTTCTAAATACGATGCCATTAGCAATACAGATAATGTATTACAAGTCTACCCCTTGTCAACTTAACACCTTAATGCATCACTTTAAGCCATAATCGTTTGCCCCTGGCACCCTCAGAGGCTCACGTCCCTCTCACGGTGAAACATGGATGCTTAACCATTCTGGCGTTTTCCAAAAGTCTTGACTTCAGAGTCTCCTCAGAGACTCAAGGGAAGCTCTTAGGGGCGAGCCCCTGTAAAAATCAAAACGACAACTACAAGCTCCACGGCCTATACCTCTTTGCATCCTGCATTCATGCAAACCAGCACCCCACTGATGATACCAAGGTCCAACATCAACCCTTGGACTACAGCTTCAGTAGCCTCCAGTGCCCAGGTAGCTGAACTTAGGAAAACACTTCCCTGGGTGGCCCTGTGTTTGTCAAGGAAAAGTCTTTGAAGTGAGTGATCATTTTCATGCACTGGAGTCTACAGTGAGTGGAGTCTGATTCCTGAGATGGGCTTAAAGCTTTTCCTACTGTCCCAGCTCAGAGTGCTTAATGGTGCTAATTTACATAACAACCCTATGGCTTTCAGCTAGCTTCCTTTGTGAACAGACTGCATAGTTTTCAAATCTTTCTGTCATGTTTTTGTTTGGTTGATCCTCATTTTTACTGTAAATCCAGCTAAATGTGAGTACCGTTAAGTATGCCACAGCTGCACTGTTATGCTGGCTTGAAACTTCCTCGGCCAAAATAATTAATCTGTCACCTTTAAATGCCTCCTCTCACAATGTTTTGAGACTGTCTTAATGTCATTTCCAGTTGCTGTGTGTCCTACTCAGAGTTTTGTATATCTGCAATGAAACAGCAAGACCAGAAAGCAAGTTAGGGAAGAAAGAATTTATTTGGCTCACAATGTCACATCACTGCTCATAACTGAAGGAAGTCAGAGCAGAACTCAAAGCCGGCAGGAACCTGGAAGCGGGAGCTGATATAGGAACAATGGAGGGGTGCTGCTTCCTGGCTTGCTCAGCCAGCTTTCTTATAGAAGTCAGAACCACCATCTCAGAGATGGCACCACCCACAATGGGCTGGACCCTCCCCCATTGATCACTAATTAAGAAAATACCCTCACATGACTCTAGCCTGTATCAAGTTAACATAAAACTGTCCTGCACACTGTTATACAATACTCTTGACAAAAGCAGCTCAAGAGAGAAAGGCTTTACTTTAGCTCACAATTCCAGGTTATAGCCCATCACAATGACGAGAGCTTGAGACATCTGGTCAACCTGCACTTGTAGTCAGGAAGCAGAGAGCAATGAACACATGCATGCTTTTCCTTAGCTTTCCACTCCTTAAAATTTATTATTATTGTTGATATTGCTGTTGTTATTTATTTTTTAATTTTTTTATCTATTTTGTGCATATGGTGTTTTCCCAGCATGTATGTCTGTACACCACAAGTATTCAGTGCCCACAGGGATCAGTAAAGGGTATTAGATGACCTGGAACTGTAGTAACAGATGGTTGCGGACCACTATGTGGGTGCTGGGAGTCAAACGCTGCTCCTTTGCAAGAGCAGCTGGTCCTGTTAACTGCCCAGCCATCTCTCCATCTCAGCTCTACACTTATACAGTTCCAACTTCTCTGCTGAGATACTGGTACCACCGTCAGTGAGTAGGTCTTATGTCAACTAATGTACTCCAGATAACCCTCCCACAGATATGCCCCAGGCCCATGTGAGGTAGGCACCCCTTCGCTGAGAGCTTCTTATCAGGTGATTGCTGATTATTTTAAGTTGACAATTTAAATCATCCATTACAGGGATATAGACAAGATGTATACAATGTTTTGTCGTTGTTATTTTGCCAGAATATAACACGAATGGACTGTAGTCTAATTCTAGTCTAATGGATTAGTCTATTATTCTCAATTAGACCCTAGTCTAATTCTCTAGTTCTTTGCTCCCAACTGGAACATCAAGTACACAGTCTTTATCATCCACATTCCTGTCCGAGTTCTGATCTTCCAAAATGGTTACAGTTACAAAACTACTGTTCCAGGGCATCTGATACCCTCTTCTGGTCCCTGTGGGCACTGAATACTTGTGGTGTACAGACATACATGCTGGGAAAACACCATATGCACAAAATAGATAGATAAATAAATAAATAATTAAACAACAGCAACAACAACAATAATAATACATTTTAAGGAGTGGAAAGCTAAGGAAAAGCATGCATGCGTTCATTGCTGTCTGCTTCTAGAGAGCTTCTAGAGTTCTTCTAGCCCACGGCTCCAAGCTCTCCCAAATTCCTCCTATAACCTCTAGGGACCTCGGAGCTGCATGTTCAGACTTAGTTACAGGAACAACCCCACTCCTGGTACTACTTTTCTGTATCGTTGGTATTTAATTACTGTGACCTAAATGATTGACTGGGAGTAGGGAGGAAGAGGTTAGCCCACCACGGCTGAGACAGTGTGGTGGAAGAGTGCCTTCTGCCATGGTGGGCCAGGAAGCAGAGAAAGAATGTTTGCATTCTAATAGCACGGTCCTTTTAACATTTTATTCAATGTAGGACCGCAGCCTGTGGGATGGTGCCGCTCACATCCAAAATGGGTCTTTTCCTCTCAATTACTCTGACTCCCCGAAAATGCCCTCAGAATACCCAGAGACATGTCTCAACAAATCCTCATCGAGTCTAAATCCAGTCAAGCTGACAACTGAGAATGGCCACCCCACATTTTAGCCATTTTTGTGACATTAAAAAAAAAATCATAGCCAACTGGGCATGGTGGCAAACACCTTTAATCCCAGCACTTGGAAAGCAGAGGCAAGTAGATTTCCATGAGTTCAAGACCAGCCTAGTCTGTATAGAGAATTCCTAACCAGCCAGGGTCTTGTAGTGAAACCCTGTCTCAAAGAAAGAAAAGTACATTGTCACTGTGGAGACCATCCGTCTGCAAAATATCAGTCACCAAGTTCCTCCTGCTGGAGGGATCCCAGCCCTTAGCAATCCCATGTTATTTTGTGCATGTGCTTAACTACACTAAATGCATCTCTCAAATGTAATCAAACAGATTTGTCCTTTCCCTGGGCATCAAGTCCTTCAAGGTCATCTATACTGTAGTGTGCGGTGGAACTACCTTCCTTTTCTCAGGCTGGTGCCATAGTCAACTTGAAGTTAGAAATGTTCTTGATCATCTCAACCATCCACCACGGCATCCCCTGCCAAACTGACCCTCAAAGTGCTTGCACACACACACATACACACATACACACACACACACACACACACACACACACACACACACACACCTGTGCATAGACATGCTGAGGCTGTTTCATAGGAATAACCAAACTGAGTCAGTGAAGCAACAGAGAAGAAAGTCCTAAATCCCTTTTAGGGCTATGCACTGTGGCCTGTGGTCTTGGCTGGCCAAGACCCTGTGTGCTTGCATCCTCCAGAGGCAGGCATCTGATCAGATAATGCTGATATCTGTGAGGAAGTTTGGGTGAGGGAGGTACTTAAGAGCCCAGAGAAGGCCCATCTTGAACAAAAGGGAAGCATCCCAGAGGAGATGGACCCTTGCTAGTCTTAGAGTCATGTCGAAGGGCTTCCTGAATAGGCAGAGAGTAGCCCATGGGAGCATGGAGTATTCTAAGGGAGTTACATTGAGAGAGCTCCACATCCTCACAGGGCACCCTCCACTGGTGGCCACAGAGTAGCTGTCCTTAGGAGATGTGGAGCAAACCTACTAGACTCACCAGCCTGTGTCCCCTGCAGACCACGTACAAGGGCAAGTCCTCCTTCCAGACCTACTCGGACTACTTGCGTTGGGAGAGCTTCCTCCGGCAGCAGCTGCAGACCTTCCCCGAGGGCTCAGCCCTGCGTCGAGGCTTCCAGACCTGTGAGCACTGGAAGCAAATCTTCATGGAGATCATAGGTGGGTGTGAGCATACCCCCTCCACCAGGCCAGGTGGTGGGCAGCCACACAGAGGCAGCTACCCACATCGAGAGGACAGTGTGGTCTGTCTGTGCAGCTCTTCTGTTACCCCGAGTCCTGGGTCAGAACCCCAGTGAATTGCCATGCAGTGACCATTGACAAGAGGCCGGATTGTGGGTTCTCTCCTGCTGGTTGCATCTGTCCATGTGTGATCTTGAATTTGGCCACTCGGGACAGTAAGATGGCTCTGTTGATAAATGCACTTGCTGTGCAAGCCTGGTGGCCTGAGTCAATCCCTCAATCCCATGATGGAAGAAAATAACTGGCTGCACAAAGTCCTCTGACCGCTACACATGTGCTCTGGCGCATGGGCACATGCAAGCACACATACGATAATAATTTTTAAAAAGTATGTCATGGCCCTTCCTGGGCCACCGCTCTCTGGGGGCCATGTTTAACTCCTTGGACTCCAAATAAAATTCACCTGTATGCAGTCCACACTGCAGCAGGGAGGCCACGCACCTCGGGGTGGCCAAGCTGCCATGACTGCCCCTTCCTACAACCCTGGTAGCCTCTGTATTGAGGAAAGGGGGAGGTGCAGTCTCCTCACCCTGAAGCCCCCCATCCCCCTTCTCTCCTACCTTGCAGGGGTACAGAGTGCCCTGTACGGCCTGGTCCTCTCCTTGCTCATCTGTGTGGCCGCAGTGGCCGTGTTCACCACCCACGTCCTCCTTCTGCTGCCTGTGCTCCTGAGTATCCTAGGTATGTGTGCCCTGGGTGACGGTGCACCAGGGATGAGATCGGCCAGGGCACATGGCAGGAGACAGCAGGCTGGGTGCGGGTGTGTGGTTGATGGAACAGTGGGCCAGGCTGGTGGGGGTGGGACCAGGTCTTCTGTTCTTCAAGGCAACAAATTTCTATGAGCCTCTGGCCATCCAGTCTTAGCAAAGGCCTCGTTGCAATCCTCACCCCTACAAAAATACCCTCAGCTTGACTTTGGGTGACAGTGACACACAGAAACTACCTGTCTGTGTTCCCTGAGTGGAGCCAGGTATCTGTCTGTGGCATCATTTAGGTGAGTGGCATGGTGCCGTGCCTGCCTCCTCCTTCCTCCCTCCTCCCTCCTCCCTCCCCCTTCCTCCCTCCTCCCTCCCCTTCTCTATGCCACTGAGCACCAGCATACCTCTTGACTCCAGAAGTCTCCATTCCCCCTGGGACCCTCTAGGACCACATGGGCGGGAAAAGGTCTAGGCTATACCCTTGCTGTCCCTCTTACAGGCATCGTCTGCCTCGTGGTGACTATCATGTATTGGAGTGGTTGGGAGATGGGTGCCGTGGAAGCCATCTCCCTGTCCATCCTGGTGGGCTCCTCTGTGGACTACTGTGTCCATCTGGTAGAAGGCTACCTGCTGGCTGGGGAGAACCTACCCCCACAGCAGGCTGAGGTAAGCTGCCCTGTGTATGCCTGACCTCTGCCTCAGCTCCTACCTTGGGGCAATGGGAGGGCCTATAAGGACAGATGGATATCCCATACTGACCACCCAGGCAAGCCTTGTCCTAGGAGCTGTTTCCAAGACTGCAGTGTCTCACTCCTCAGCCCTAGGCACACGAGGTGTCTTTCCAGTCATGAGACCACTGCCAGAGCTTGCTGTGGAGCTAAGGAGGGGGTTAGGGGCAGATTTACTCTAGTTGAATATATTGCCATGATAAAGTACCCCCAAAAAATGCAGTTCAGATGAAAACTTATAGTTCCACTTTGTAGACCATCATTATGGACAGATCAGGGCAAAAGCTTCAGACATCTAACCACATATTTCTTCACTCTAGAGCAGAAAGAAATTGAATGCATGCTGTCTTGTTCACTCACTCATTCGCTTGCTTGTACTCAGTTTGACTAATCCGCTGCCACACAGTTCACAATCCCTTGCCTAGGGAATGGAACCACCCACGGTAGGCTGTGTTTTCCCACATCCATTAACCATCTCCCCACAACCCAACCCATTGTGGACAATCCCTCACTGAGATTCTCTCAGGTGAGTCTAGGTTGTATCAAGGTAACAACTAAAGCTAACTGTACACAGTTTCCAGGTTTTTTTTTTTCTTGGTTTGATGAGAAGACTGATAAAAAAAATAAGACTGACTAAAATGAAGTCATCTACACTTTTAATCAGTTTTTGGTTAGAAGGATAGAATAACTCCAGTCACGGCTCCCATTTTTGAGGACCCACTATGCATACTCTCCTGTCCTACAGCCTATCAGCCTGATGATATGGGAGCCCCTCAGGCAGAGCCAGCCTGGGGCAGCAGTATACACTGCCATGCCCCACAGTCAAGCCCCAGGCCTGCTGTCATGGTGCTCAGTCCCAACGCGCTCTCTCTCTCTCTCTCTCTCTCTCTCTCTCTCTCTCTCTCTCTCTCTCTCTCCCTTCCTCCCTCCCTCCCTCCCCCTCTCTCTTCTTCCCCTCTCCTGACCTCCTGATTTTCCTTTCCCCTTTCCCCTTTCCTTCCTCTTTCCTTCTCTCTCTCTCTCTCTCTCTCTCTCTCTCTCTCTCTCTCTCTCTTTCTCTCTCTCTCTCTCTCTCCCTTCCCCCCTCTCTCCCCACCCCTCTCTCTCATCTCAGGATGCCAGCTCTCAGCGCCAGTGGAGGACGCTGGAGGCCGTCCGCCATGTGGGCGTGGCCATCGTGTCCAGTGCACTCACCACTGTCATCGCCACCGTCCCACTCTTCTTCTGTATCATCGCCCCGTTCGCCAAGTTCGGGAAGATCGTGGCACTCAACACGGGCGTGTCCATCCTCTACACACTCACCGTCAGCACTGCCCTGCTGGGCATCATGGCCCCCGGTTCCTTCACCCGCACCAGGACTTCCTTCCTCAAGGCCCTGGGTGCCGTGCTGCTGGCAGGAGCCCTAGGTCTGGGTGCCTGTCTTGTGCTCCTGCGCAGTGGCTACAAGATACCCCTGCCCAGCGGGGCCACGCTATAGCCCCGTGCTTGTGTCCTGTCATGCACCTTGCCCTGCAGCAGGGGATGAGGGGATCTGAGACCCAGGGGCTCTCTGTTTTCTGGCCCAGTTCTAACTGACTCCACTCACAGGCTTCGTGGAACTGGGACCTAGAGCTGAGGGCTACAACACCTTCAGCACAGCTCAGACTGGAAGTAAAGTCAGACACCCCCATACTTTTTGGGCCCCCTCACTGAAGTCTACCTGACCCTGGAAGACACTAGCCCTCCTCCTGTACCTGGTCACCACAAAGCAGGTGGATTCCTACCAGGGTCTCCATTCACACTGCTTCAGTGTTCGTGACCTGCTTGGGTGGGCGTTTCAGGACCAGCCACTCTGCGGATGTGGAAACTAAGACACCAGGAGGCAGGGACTGCCCTGTGCCTGGATCAGGGCAGAGCCAGAGTTGCCTCTGTAGCACAGGCCTCCCCAGGCTTTTGTAGGAAGAGCACAGCAGATCCAGGACAGGGGGCCCACCCACCCCCGCAGCTCTATGCAGCCAGTGCTTGGTGACCCTCTTGTGGTCCAGGCCAGCAGAGACAGAAGCACTTCTTGGGATCATGCATGTCCTAGCCCCAGCCCCAGCCTCTGGGGCACGTCAAAATCTCTCCCTGAAGTTGTGGCTCAACTATCCCTACAGATCCAAACTTGGGCACCCCCACTGACTGAGAGTGGATGACTGGTGTGTGGCGGGGTGTACACTCATGGGGGGAGCTGGCTGTGCCTGCCACCTGCTCGTGGCAGACAGTCCCTATTAAAGAAAGACGGATCTGCAGACTCTGCTATTTACAGAAACATTTTCAGCCTCACTGGCTCCATCATGTTCTTAAATTTGAAATAACTTAAGTGTTCACATGCAGCCCGACACAGAGGGTGGCACTGGACCTGTGTAGAAAGTGTCCAGTACGGAGTTGGGAGCACTTGGGCTCAGTGTGAGGCCAGGGCCTCCCAGTGGGAAGTGGGTGGGGCTCAGGAGATGTTTGTGCCTTTATGGAGCCCAATTGGCCCCACTGTTGGGCATTTTTGAAAGCTTGGCATTGTGACAGCCACTAGACTTCTTCCTGGGCACAGACATGCCTTTTGGGTCTTATAAAGCTAGACATAGGTTGAACAGGATAGTTCAGGGATCAGGACAGATCCCTGAGGGTGAGGAAGGAATCTGGGGATGTCTACACACCAGCTCACCTGATCAACAGTAGGTGTGAAAGGGAAAGCTGGGTACAAGACAGAGACCACTGTGTCCTTGCCTAGTCATGCCTGCTGTGGCGTGATGCCCAGTGTTTGTTGAGGGAATATCAAACCTTTAGACCTACGAAACACAGTGAAGAAATGAAGCGATCAGGCGGGTACTGCCTGGCATGTAACACAACAGACGCTCTTCTTGGAGTTGGTATTCATTTCCTGAGGCACCATGATAGCACCACAGATGTCTGCAGCAGAAGACCCTCAGCTCTGACAGCAGGGCTGTTCCCTCTGAGAATCCAAAGTGGGGATCTGGTCCAGGCCTGCTGGCTGCTGGGCATCTGCTGGTCTCCTTGTGTCTGTCATTTCATGTCCGCATTCCTCTAAGAGGGACATCTGTCATGCTGGCCCAACCCTAATGACTTCATCTTTACCTGGTTAGCTGTAGGGACCTCCCCCCCCCAATAAGCTCCTGTCCATGGGGACTAGGCATTAGGACTGCAGCATACCTGAGGGACAGGGTCATCACACACACAGGAGTCAGCTCAGTTTGAGATAGGGTTTCTCTGTGTAGCCTTGGCTGTCCTGGAACCCGCTCTGCAGAGCAGGCTGATCCGGGGCGCCGCCTCGCCGAAAAGGAGAACGCCACGCTAAGGATTCTTCTGACAGCAGTTTTATTGTTACAGCTCTTTTAGTGTTACAGCTCTCTTAGGTGGTAGTGAGGCGAGGGACCCCAAGCCCCAAAAGCTTATGGCTTATATAGAGCTTTAGGAGACGTGCCACACACTCATTGGCTCTTATGATGTCGCCAAATTAGCATACTGGTTTTCGCGCCTTGCGCAGGCGCACATTCAAGCAAGGCTCGCAAGAAGAACCAGGAAGCAGGAAACCGGCGCCATCTTCCGATGGCGGACGCAGCTCCTAACAGGCTGACCTCAAACTCGAGATCCATCTGCCTCTGTGCTGGGATTAAAGGCGTGCATCTCCATGCCAGGCACGAATCAGCTCTTTTTTTTTTTTTTCTAATAATCAGGTGTAGATACATACAAGGGGGCCAAAGCCTGAGCTATGGTTTTTCCTGGACCCTGAGCCCGACCTGAAGCCCAGGTATGTCCTAAAAGACATCCTCAACCACTAGGATGACCCTTCACAAAGGCAGACAGTGTTACTATGGAGTTGGAGGCTGTAGTCAGACCAAAGGGTCTATGCTGGAACTCCTGAAGCAAATTCTTGGATCTGCCTAACACATTCTTCACTTGGTAACACTGGAGCCCTGGGAGGCTTTCCACCGAGGGAAAGGTCTAAGGAAGCAGGCTGTCTCTGACCCAGGGCCTCAGGATCCTCTTGTGTAGCAGCCATATATACAGGGTCCATGAAACTGACCACCACGTGGAGTGTTGAGAAGTTAGGAGAGTTGGGGAGGGGCCTGGCAGATTGGCAGCGTATCTCAGGATTGGCGTCTACAAGATCTTCCCAATAACTCAGTTTAATGTAGAGCTGTATCATTTGCATGCCGTCCACGTGACGCTTGTCGACTCTGGGAGATCTCTGCCTGGCCTATTTTCTTTTAAGGGCACCCCTCTACCCCAGACCTCTACCTTTGCAGAGAGCTGTGGGGATGCAGGAGGGGCAAGGATGGACGAGATGAACTCAGACTCACTAGCTTCTGCGTGACTCTGTGACCTGTGGGACTCCCGTTTACAGATGATGAGTCTGGTCATCACGGCAAGTGCATGGTCACGCTGGCCTCTGGCCATGCTGACTGTCTCCTACAAGGATGGCATCCTTAACACCCTGCCTTCCTTCCTGGAGGCCCTGTGTGGTAACTGATAGACTTGGTTCTCGCCTGGGCCTTCCCAGGGCAGGAAGAGGCCTGGGAAAAAGGAGGTGGCGACAGCTTGGGTGCCCTTGGGAACTTGGGCCACACAGCTGTCTGCCTCTTTGATCCCCCTCATCTTCTTTGCGAGTGTTGGCACCACCGGGTCCCAGAGGCACCAACTCCCGTGAATAGAAGCTTGACCTTCCTTTGACGCCGATGTGGGCTGCAGTCTTAATGAGCCTCACCAAGCTTAATGAGATCTCTGTTCACTCAAGCTCAGCAACCAGCCTGGGGACCCCAGGATGCACAGGCGTGGACATGCCAAGGTGACAGTCCTCTGTGTGGAGGAGCTGAGGACATGAATGGGGTCTGAGTGAGTGAAACCCCTTTACCAACCAAGGACCCTATGGCCCTGCTTCTCTACCAAGACCAGATGTCAATGGCAGCTGCTTTTAAGGGGTGCCCCTGCCCCCTTGAAACTCCCCAGTGTCCCTAAAGCAAGTGTCTTTATCATGTTCTATTAAGAAAGCAGCAGCCGGAGACTTGTTTCTGTTGTCCCTAGCTGACCACAGCTATGAGATGGACAGGACCATGCCTGCCTTCACATCGGCCAGAGGATGCTGTGCTTTGTCCTGGATAGAATGGGGGTACAGGGCATGCTTTTCCAGACAGAGGCCACTCTCTATCTGATTTCAAAGTTTCGTGGTGAAGCTACGGGAAAGCTGGTTCTCAGGTATCGCCTGTTGGGATGTGCGATCCGCTCAGCCATGCAGGACTGTTTGTCAGTAGCGGAATTATAGCCACACCTACCTTTATACTCAGCACCCCTGTCTTGCACATCAAAAGGTAAACTTAACCTTGGCAGAGTGCAGAAGGCTTGCGTTGAAGACTAGTCTGGCTTATCCAAGAACCAGAGTCCTACACATCCATCACCACAGGAACAGGGGTAGAGAGCTACAGAGGTCTATGCTCTGTGGCTGAAAATGAACGAGGGAGCTTCCTCGGTGCGGGGGATGGGAAAATTGCCAAAGAAGATTAAACGAGAGAGGAAGGGGGGAGGTTGTAAAACTATGCAGCTTATGTATTTGAAAACTACCCAATCAGGGGTGGACCTGTGCTCATTTTTGTTTGCATGTGCATTAAATAATTCTGGAAAACAATACAAGGAGAAACTGCAACAGTGGTTTACCTGTGTGTGCCAGGCAGGATGGGGAGGCTACTCGGAGGCAGAGAGCCATGGAAGAAACCTCCCTCTTACCATAAATCTCTGTGCGCTCAGGTGTCCTGACTGCAGGAATCGATCACAGAGATGATTTTCTTGTAAAGAGAGGGGTGGCTGACAATAGCTTCTTGGGAAACTCACACCAGGAGCAGGAGGAAGGAGAGGAGGAGTCCCCATGAAAGGCCTCAACAAACATGAGCTGACATTTGTTGCATCTGATACCTTTCCAGAAGGTCCAGTAAGGACAGGGCTGGAGCTAGTGAGCCTAGAGTGGTCAGATACAGCCCCTGGCCCAGGTGTAGGCGAGCAGGCAAGGAGATGCTCAGATCGGGCAGCCCTGGGTAGCAGATCAGATGGGCTTGTTGCCCCCTGCATGTTCTCACAATGGCACCTTCCTTCTGCCACTGCTGGCCTTGTGTCCAAGAATGTCACACATTCTGTCTTTATCTGCTTGCTCATCCGTTAAATAGAATAATACCTACTGAGCGTGGCCTTTGTGTATCAATAAGATGATGTTTGCCCAAGCGGTGGCCACAGTAATACCTGTCATGCCATCCTCCCTGCTGTCTCTCTTATCAGACAGGTCTCTCCCAACCCTGGGTAGGTGGATGTGCTTAGCCTTCCAAAGCTCTTCTGTAAGCAGGAGCTATCCAACCCCAGCCCGCAGCTGTCCCTCTGACTGGGGTGGAATATGCTTTCTTGTCCTACTGACAATAAGCCCACCGGTGGGACCCATACTGTTCAGTGGGATACAGTAAG